GTAAAACTGCCCTAAGAATAGAGTGTTGAAAGCAGCACTTTAGTCTAAAAAGTAGGCTGGAACAAACTTTGCGTCTTTATCAAGACTTGAAACAACGACAACATCTAATATGCTTCTACTGCATTTGAACCCCGGCCGACGCACTCCTTTACCTCGCTAAGCCAGAAATAATGCTGGCGAAGAGGAAAGGTTGGGCTTGAAGCCGCCCTATGTTCCACTGAAGAATGTGAAGGAAAAAAGTAAAAGAAGAAGAAGAAGCATTTGCAAGCAAACTGCTTTGGATCATTAAAAGATTTCAAAGAAGGCTTATGAATATGTAGCAGAAGTTTCTCTATAGTTTTCAGAAATGGAGACATGATGGAAACCATGTTAAAGTGTGAATAATTTTCTGGTGAAAATATTAGTCAGCTAAACAGCGTCATGACAGTCAGATTTCTCTGATTCAGATTATTATTCTACGGATGCTTTTCGCTTTATTACAACTTAAGCAATTGTTATTACTTTTCCCTTGGGTTCCAAGTGGAACATGGGCCTTCAACAATACATCTCCACTTTCTTCTATTTACTTATTTTTTTATTTTTTATTTTAAATTTTTGATTACAGCTTGATTCCACACTGTATTTTTGGTACAAGTATGGAATTTTCAGCATGTGATATCGGTAGCCCGAAATTCGCAGGCCGACCATAGATATATCAAGTGTGCGTCGGCGTGGGCTCGAACCCCGGACCATGTGCATGGTCGACGAGAGTCCTAGCCACTGTGCCACCGACACTCATATCTTCTTCACCTGGCTAGCTCCACGAATTTTTTCAAACTCTCTCTCTCATCTCATTCTCGCCACACCGTCTCCTACATGTGAACCTTGAAGTGACGACCCACTCGTCGATGCTCATTTGGATTCCACTCAAGAGCCGGCCTGCATTGTGTGTGCGATGTCATTCGACGGCCTCCTCCGCAATATGCCTAATCCATCTCCATTTCCTCCTACATATTTTTTAAGCGATCGCCTCTTGGTTGTTTTATTTTTCCACCGCAGAGTGTCTTGATGTTAATTCTTTCTGGCTAGCCATTTGATCTTTAGTAAGGAGTCGGTGAAGTGGTCAGCTGTTGATAAAAGTCTGCAGTGACCTGTTGAAAATTGTTTTCCGTGACACGCAGTGTAGGTTTCTGATCCGTATAGGAGAACGGACTTCACATTTGTGTTGAAAATTCGAGTGTTATTCTTTATGCTGGCTGAGTGCAGACGATTTCCAAACTGATTTCAGATTGATGGGGGCGTATCTTGCCTTTCCGATTCTGGTTGGCTGGCTGGCTGGCTGACTGGCCTTGACATCCACATCCGTTCCCCCAATCGTCGTTGAAAGGATGCTTCTTATATAAGTGAAGGAAGTAATCTCTGTCAAATCTCTCCTGTTGATGGTGATTAGTGCTTGCACCAAACGAAGCACTAGACACATTTCACTAGTTACTAACTGGTGTCCAATCAAAGTACCCACTACATTCCTGCAGGAGGTCAGTGGCGAGCCCAGATGGCTCAGTGGCAACGTCTATGAATGCAGGGAGCATTGGGTAACGCGAGCTCAAATTTCAGAAGGGACATGAATTCATTCAAGGCGGCTGCAGATACGCCTTGCTGACTAGTGAGTGCCAACTAGCATTGAAACATAGGTCAAGCAAGGGTTCCTGTGGCTGATTGCCTCCAACCATCTAATATCATCGAATCAATGACTTTATTTCTCCAGAAGCAGAAGGCTCCCCACTGTCTATCTCTAAATACACGGTATGAGATATATGTTGCGGCATCTTCAGACTTTCCATTATATGATCAGTGTCCAGTTGTTGGCGTATAGTCATGTTTTTGAGTCCCTGTGAGCTCGTTTGTCTCAGTTTTTTTTTGTTTTGATGTGTTCCGAAATGCAAGCCAGAATATGTGCCTAATTATCTTATAATTTATCAGTCTTCGTAACAAATAATAATTTACCAACTTCTGTGCCTTGGTGACACACAGGTAGAATGCACGCCAGCCATGCAAGTGGTGCGCAGTTCGATACCCGGCCAACACACTCCCAAACCTCACTAAACCATTAATAAGCCTAGTAAAGAGGGAAGGTTGAGCATGAGGCTAGCAACTCCATCTCATTAAAAATAAATACCAGGAATACCGAAACTTCGATCCTCTACCTTGAAGCCCTATGTTCCACTAAGGACGTAAAGGAATAAAATTAATTATAACAATAAACTTTTCTGATTTTGGACTTATGTCACTTATCCAAGGGTTGGTTTGCAGGGATTTGATTACTTAAAGGCTTTCATCATGGGCTGACATAAGTTAGAGAATCGGTTAAAACAAACTGGGAGTATTGGACAATCAGCCGTTTCGTCCTAATCTCCTGGGTCTCTGCATCAGCACACACCCAACCCACTGCCAGGTTTCGAATCCAGGACCTTCTGATCACAAAGTGAGTTAACCTGTAGAAAATTAAGCCACTGAGACTCTATCCAATGATCCATGTCACTTATATTTTCAATCAATATATATCGATGTCAGTGTATTTACAGCTTGTCCAAACCATGTTTTGTAATCTATACACATTTTGGTACTTCCCCAGGATTTGATAAAAATCCACGGAAAATTAGGAAATAACCTTAAATTATCCCGCTACATATTTGTTTTTAGAAATTTTCCCTCTTTGTACAATTTTCCCATTGGGGAAATTGTATGAGTCACCTTCAGCAATCCAATACTTGAAAGTCTATTAACAAAATTAGATATGAACAGATATGTATCACAAGTAAACTGACTGATCATGGTGCGGTCACCCATGTGATCGTTTAATAATCTGCCACTTATGTGTTGAATTTCTCGTGGAGTCATACACTTGAGGGATTGAGAAATTACAAATCAGCATGAAAAAAGATGAATTTATTGTTCTTGAGTTTTAAGTAGTTAGCTAGTTGACATAGTAAAGTCTTCTATGGAACCGTTGTATACTGCTCAGGTTAATGAATCTAGATCAACTCTCGATTCAGATGACTTCTTACACCTTGATAAAGGTTTCATCATGGAGTAACATCATCTAGTGAACCTATAAAGACAAAGATTAATCCAAAAAATTGTTGAATCTCAATCCTGTCATGGATAGAGCATGTGGTTTCTAGCTAACCGTTTCTACACTTTCAGATATAATCCTATTTGACACATTCCTTTTTACTGTCTTCCACTCAGCTGCATTCTTCGACCATGACGTAAAGAATTCAAACTCAGAGATATTTGTTTTCATTTTCTATTTTGACTACAGCTTGATTCAACACAGTATTTTGATACAAACACAGTAGGCAACCACCCCACAGCTAGGGTTTTAACCCACGATCTTTCGGTTACAAGGCCATTGAGATTCGATCCAATGGTCAGTCCATGAATTCCATCTTCTGCCAACTGACGATAATGCATGACCACTAGTTAGTGTCATCCGTGGTGAGTATTTTGTTTCACATACGACCTACTGTACCTCACTGGTCACAACCTCTCAACAGAATCCAGGTAACTACCTACCTGAATATAGAGCCAGTCTTCAGGGAGAACCAGACTGATATTCAAGTTAGAACAATGCATTTAAGCGAGCAATGTTGTGGTTTCAATTAGATCTCATCAAGCTTAATTCTCATATACACAACTTTACAAATAAAAATTCAGATCTAAGCCAATCACGGTGTCTTGTCGACAGGATAATAAGATTGCTCGCATAAACTGTGTAATTAGTCATAATAATATTAATAATAATACTAATACAGGCGATAATATCAATGGTTCTATCAATAACAAGGATGGACAAGTGAGGTGTTGTGTGAAAACGAGAATAACGGAAAACAGCATGATTAAACAAACGAATGTTGAGGTGAAAGCAGTCGATTAAGAGTAAGAAACACAAACGAACCGATTACGTAATTCTCGATTGTAAGGGAAGTAAATAAGAAAACACGTTTTAATGATGATTAAGGTATGATAAGAGAGGGGTTGAATATACAAGTAGGGGATGGCGAAACAGTTGTCGGTTGGTTATGTCTTAATAGGACAACAAGGGAAAGACAATGACTGCACGAACGTCTTTTGAATGCATAGTAAGCGTTAAATAGTTCGAATGCCTATCGCCTGCCTCAGCTGTGTGCAGGAGACGAATATTTTTACAATAGTTTTTTTGATTATAGCTTGATTGTACAACTTTATTTTTGGTACAAGTATGGAATTTTCAGCATGTGATATCGGTAGCCCAAATTTTGCAGACTGACCATAGATATCAGGTGTGCTTCGGCGTGGGCTCGAACCCGGACCATGTGCATGGTCGGCGAGAGTCCTAACCACTGTGCCGCCGACGCACAGTATCGATCCATATATACATAGCGAAATATAACAGACTGTCAAACAAACACACATATTATATGGATGTATATATCACCAAGAACAGACTGTCAAGAAACACCCATATTATATATACTATAAGGGGAATATACGTTGTTAAAGGAGACAGGTTCATCAAAGTGAAATGGTCACAGACTAGGAGAGCAATAGAAAGAGAGACCACCATACACACATATATATATATATATATATATATGGATACATATCAGTCACTAAAAAGCATTCCCTACAGGATGAGGTTGCGACATTCATGAATAGGTGATATGTATATACAAATGTAAGATGATATCTTCAAGTGATATCACACTATAAGCCCCCATGTGGAACCTAAATCAGAAATGATGAAGCGGTTGTGGAGTCAGAAGTGACATTAATAGTAAAAAAAAATAGTATGAAGAGGTAATGCGAGCTAGTAGTCAGTTGTGGAGTCCTCTGAAATTGATAGTGGAAAACCGAGGGGAACAGAAATGTGCTGCTGAGATCCTCTGTTTTCTGCGAAACGCATGAAAATGAATAATAAGAATAATATACGTATATACACGTAAACTGACACAATAATGCAAAAATAACACTATGCTTACTTCCGCAATCAACTGCTTCATACTGATAAATGAGACAAACAGTAAAGAAGAAAGTGATTGTTAGAATTCGCATCGTTCTCTTTTATTTAGTCCTTGATTTTTTAAATTCTGAAGAAGTATAATTTAATAATCAGATAAGTATAAATCTATTTTGTATTGCACAAATTGCTTAAAATTCATCTGCCTAAATGAGTTACATTCAGTGATTTCATCCAATCAGATAAGAGCACTCGTGACAAGGTCATTATGTCTGAATCCTATTGGCCCACTTATAATTGAGTATGTCATCTGATTAATTCACTGAATATTATTTATGAATTTAATTATTACTTCTTGAATAATCATATTGACTTACATTAATCTCTCTCTGTTCATCTGTAATTAAATGCATGGACTATACATATTGAAAGAGTCAGTGATTTATTAGTAATGTGAGGCTAGAAACGTCACATAGTTAGAAAAAGTCACTGTCGCTAGTAAAACTTTAAAGATTATAATCTGAAGCTCTATGGATCACTAGGAATGTATGGAAAGAACAAGAGAACAGGATATCGATATAAACAAAACAATTTAGACTGCTTACAGGATTTCATCATGAGCTGACATTGGTTAGAGAACCATTAGAAAACCTGGGAGTACTGGACATCTGAATCGGCAGAAGTTAGAATTTATGGGCTGGGCATTGGATAGGGTCCCAGTGGCCTAATGGGCTACGAGCTCGTTAGCATTGTAACCGAAAGGTCCTCGGTTTGAACTCTGGCACTGGGGTGGGTGCGTACAAATGAAGAGTCCCAAGCTTGAACGAAATATCTGGCTGTCCAGTACTTCCTGAAGGTTTTCCGATGGTTCTCTAACCAATGTCAGCTCATGATGAAATCCTGTAATCAATCAATCGAACCCTTACTAACTGATACTTGAATTTAGACTGCCTTATCGAAGAGAATAAGAATTGAAAATAACTTTTGTGATGAACTTTCCTGAAAGTCGATTACAATGAATTAAAACTTCATCTGATATTACGCGATGTGATGGATCGACTGGTGTAGAAAGAAAATCCAACTCTGGATTTAAACCTATTGACTGAATGATGACACATTCAGTGTGAGATCTAACAATCTTTACCCTGACTCTGTCAACTGGCCATGAGTTCATATGACTGTGGTATTCAACAGTCAAATAGATTTGAAAACGAATACATTTACTTGAAGTAGTTTCGATTTCCTCATCCTAGGTTGGCTGTGGGGACAAATACTCGTCAGAGATAATATCGGCTAGTCCCAGTCACGTTATATCGTGAATTGACAGAAGTTGCGAATCATAGGTCAGTGGCTTAATAGTCTACAAGTTCTCCTTGTAACTAGTAGGTCGTGGGTTCGAACTTCTGTGGTGAGTGCGTGCTCATGAAGAGTCTCAAGACCAGACAGCTCCCTGGAACTCCCAAGTTTTCCGATTCTGTAACACATGTCAGCTCGTGATGAAATCCTGTAAATAATTGATGATATTAGATCGACGTAGCTGGTCTCTTACGACATATACTTCAGCAGTACTTTAGAATGAACATAATTCTGTAACAATAGAAGAGAAGGGTCAGGCAACAGGTCGTTTATTAAGGAAATCAACACATATTTATAGATTTTCATGTACATATTATAGATTATTGTTAGCAGATAAACACAGTCCTCTGATTGGTTATTTCTCACAGAAAGTTAACCTTGCATCTTTCTGTGGCTGTTTCTTGAATGTCAGATCATCTATATGTTAACTGTGTGCGCCTACGCAAAGCCTTTGTTCTCATTTTTCTCACGACCAATATTGGGGACGTAAACATTGACGTAAATTACTGTCCATCACTTTTGGCTAACAGCCAGCTCTCACCACAATGCTACTGTCGTGGCTCAGCTGGTCTAGTGGATAGCCTTCTGATGTGTTGAGGAGATGAATATAGATAGGGGTTAAGTTTTGATGGAAAATTCATCACCTAAGTAAAGATACAGACAGGTACATCCGGTTGACGAATAACAAATAAGATGAAAAGTGCATTTTGCATTCCACTGATACCTGTAATCATTTGCTGATATCTTCAACCATGCAGATATATACAAACATCTTTCTATACAGTAACAGAGTTCTTTTTTTATTTTACAAGAATCTTCCAAATATCTAGCTACAGATTAACGCATTTTACTAGATAATTTGAAGCTATTAGCATGATACCAACCTATAGTGCGTATAAATGAAACATCGAAGGAACTGATGTCAATGCAGAGACTTGAATGTATATCATCTAGTATGTTGCAGTCGACTAACATTACCATTGTGATATTAGGGATTAGGAAAGTTTCAAAAATGCAATAATTCGATAGAAGTGTTTAGTATTGTTTCATACACAACAGTCTGTTAAATGTGTGGTATGTGCTACTGGACAGATTTATCAGTAGTATACAAAAAGACGTTTGTCGGCATAAAAACATCAAATAGCAGGGAGATAGATTTGATTTCAGAGAAGGTAAATGATACAGCATTGTGGAGATACATGGGAGACATGAATGGAATACAAAAAGACACAATATGAAGGGAGGGCAGAAATAGCACAACACAGAAGATCTCTACGAATTGTGATTTAAAGATAAGGTGTACATAATTTCGCTACATAGCGACATGAAAACGCAGATAAAAATTTCAGTTCATGGATAATCCCCATCCGGGTATTGATCAAAAAACAAAACACGTAGATCAGCGAAGAGTCTCTTTTCATCGGCGAATTCATTTTCTTAGCTGTACAATCGCAAATATATGAGGGTTATTTTGTACGTATGTGTACATTAAGTTTATCAAACAAAAGCAGCAATAGTTATGGTTGTTTTAACTAAACAGGTGAACATTGGTAATACAAGTCGAGGAAATTAGGTGTTAATGAAATTAGGGTAGTAACAAAGGTGATGTGTTGCCACAAACAGTTGTTAAAAAAAATGTAATAATAATATGAATAGTTTGATGAGTGAGTTTTACTCAAGACGCACATAGGAACAAAGTAGATAATGCGAAATTGCGTAAGAGTTCTAAATGAATACAAGTATTATAAGCAATTAAAGAACAGTCAAAGAAACAAAATTAAGTCATCAAAAATGAACAAATTTGTTACCATGACAGTAGAAGTGGTTGAGTAATCCCGTTTTTGTATGCACAGCTCCAGTTTTTCTATGTAAATAGCCACAGCTTCAGAGATTCAAAGAAGACGAAACCGTAATGAATTTGATAGGTTATTCTTGACTCTGTAGATTACTTTGAAGCCTTGGAGGCGTTTGTTGAAATGGAATGATCAGTGTTAACCAGGTGCTCAATTATCGCACTCCTTATTGCACCACTATTGCCTTTTCGAAACCATGCTGGGTAGTGTTCTTAAATCCTCTTGGACAAGGTGCGCATCGAACGACCGATGTATCTGGCTCCACAGCAGCAGCTGAACCGATATATGCACACAGACGTAGTCAGCTGTGGGGTCATATCCTTGAGGCTTCTGTAGATCAGTCAGCTGTCACAAAGCCATCAAATTTAAAATTGAATTAGAAACCGGAGAGACAAGCTCATTTTTGGATGTCATTCATAATGAAGTAAACAAACCTTGTCAATACCTACTAATGTTCATCGCCCTAGTCACATATGATTATTCATCACATTTTCGAAACATTTTGATGACGTAAATAGACAACCGGCAATCAGAAAACAGGTACAAAATGGACCCACAAAAAACTCGGAGGATCTGACTTCGTCGATGATATATATGTCTGAATCCCACAAACACTGGAATATATGCAAGTGAATAGCGACAAGTTGGCGATGGAAGAAGCATCAGAGAAGATAGGACTTCAGGTGAACATAGAGAAAACAGAAGTGATGATGAAGATTCCTGGCCAACAGCCACAATAACAACAGACAACAATCAGCATGCACGGGAGGAATCTGAAAGAAGCAACCTTTTTACCTACCTACGCGGGAAGCGTCGCTTCAATTACAGACGAACGGAACTGAAGAGGATATCAAAGCAACGATGATTGGGGAAGCAAGGAAAGCTTTCATTTCTCAGCTTTCATTTCTCAGTAGCATTCAGCATGAAAAATGAGATCCAGATTTTCAACTGGAGTGCGAAGTCAGTGCAACTTGCTATAAAAATCAGAGACTTGGCGCCACATCACGAAGGGTATTCCAAACAAACCCCAGACTTTCATCAATATCTGTCTTCGCTCAATACTACTGAAGATCAGATGGCCTACCAGAGAAGATCAGCAAAATGCGGGGGGGATTTCTGAGAGCAAACCAACTGGAAGCCAATTTCGCAACAAATAAGCTAGAAGAAATGGAAGTGGATTGGCCATACTCTGAGAAAACCATCAAGTGACACTACACGCCAGGATCTCTCCCTCGAGTGGAACCTGCCGAATGGGAAGCGGTGAGTTGGTCGTCAGTGAGAGGTTAACATGGAGGCAGTCATGCGAAGAGGAGGTGAAAACATGTGGGCAGACGTGGAGCCAGGTGAAAAGGTTGGCAGTGAAGGCGTGTAGCTGAAGTTTTATATTCCTCGGTGGTATGAGCTTGATTACTAACTGGTACACAATCACTAGAGTGCATCAGGAGGTCGATTGTGAGCCCTAACTGCTTATTAGTAATGTGTTTGACTGTAGTTTTGGGTAATGTTGGCTTTAATCTCTGAGAAAACATCAGTTCCCTCAGGCATGCAGAAACCCCTTTGTTTAACATGGTCTGGTAAACATGATACCTGGACTGAAGGCTTCTCCTCCACCCCATTTGCTTTCAACTGTCTAATATCAATTTAAAAGTGTGCGTTGCGATAACGAGTTTTCTAGATTGCTGACTACAGTACAGTAGTATAATTTTATTAGTTCCATATACATTCAAGTAGGTTTATTGAATCTACGTCAATAGAGTATCTTAAACTTCAACCTGACGTCCTCTTCTGATAGTGATCAGCAGTAGGAGACACTAGATGAGCACTCTTTTCATCCGACGACTGACAACTCTGCTATTGAGATTCAAACGCATACAGAAAGTGCTAGAAGCCACAGATTGCGTCATATGGTATTCACTGCATTAAATATGGTCAGTCTGTTTGGCTTAGTCTGAAGTAAGTGAATCAGG